ATTTTTTTTCCTGTTTCAGAAAGTAGCATGTAATCCATTGGAATAAAACCAGCAGTTGAGTAACTCATGCAAAGGTAATTTAGAGCACAAATTAAATCTGTCAGAGTGGTATTAGATTTGCAAAAGCTCATAAATAACAAATGAAAGGTCACAGAGCTGTGAAAATGAGAGTGTGTACTTCTTCATAGAGCGAGCCACACAGTCAGAGATGGAATCTTCAGTGCATATTCAAATAGTAGCATATAAAAGGGCAATGCAAGCTCTTTTCTAAATGTGTGGAACAGTCCAAAGACCCAGTGTACTCCAGGTAAAAGGATAAGCATCCAAGAAAAGACCACTTATATTATTTGAGCATTTCCAGCATTTTATTTGTGAGCTTTTGGGGTTAAAGTTCCACTAACCACTGAGAATCTCTGTGAAAAAGATTCTTCTTCCTATGGGACCATGTAGTGCCTGTAACTCCAGCTTGGTTACACGTTGTATATTCGTTGTCACTAAGTATTCAGTTCCTAGAAAGTATGAATACAGTGAGTGGGGAGTGCTGCTTCATGATGTGCTACAGGAATGTAAGCAATTGGTGATATTAGTAGACAGTCCCGCGCACCCTATTTTTCTCATAGAAAGAGGTGGAAAATGGTGTCTTGTTCACTACAAAGTGGATACGTTCTTTGTACTGGGCATTGTATATGAATCTTTGGTTTTAATGCTTTATTCTTTTTAAATAAGGGAATAAAATCTATATTATATATATTTTTAAAATTTTTTTTAAATTTTTATTAGTGAGACACCATGAGGTACAGTTGTAGACTTACAATTTTTTGTGCTTGGGTTTCAATTATACAATGATCTGTGTGGGGTTCAAGATCTTTACAGAACAAACCTTGATTATTGACAGAGGAGTTGGGGAATGGACATGTGAAGAGAGCAGGAAGGCCCCTGGCAAAAAATCTCTCCTGCCTTTCTCCTCTGTGAGCGATGTGAAGGTTCAGGACCTTGCCACCTTCTATTTCTTTGTGATATATTAGAAAAAAGGTGAGCAGCATAGTAACCTAGATTCACATTGGCTACTTCGCCCCTTCTCTACTTTTTCTTCCCACTTCCCTCTAGCTCTGCTTTTTACCTTTTCTCTCCTGCTTCCTTCTCCTTATTCCTCTACCACCCCTGCCCCAGTTGTCTTGAGCTAGGACTTGTTCCTCCCAAATAAAGTCTCATGGCTATAGACCTTGCACCATACTCAGCCCTATACTCATACTCATACTCATACAAGGACTGTTTCTGGGCTTTGGATCCCAACACTGAGGTTAGACTGTGTCTTGATGCACAGGATGCACTGAGATTGATGTCCAGTTTAACATGAAGGAGATCTCAAGTTGGTAACCAGTTCATATTTAACTGCATTATAATTATGTAAATATAAAGCTAACTAGGTTTCTGCACTTTCCCCTTTGAAGTGAGCCCTGCCGCAGATTGTGTGGAGTTGTGGGTGTGTCTCCATTGCCTGATCTCTATGGGCTGCTATGGTGCAGAGGGGGCCCTGAAGGACAGCCTCATCTGTGCTGGTTCCATTCTGGACCAGATGTCTCTACAAGGAAGCATATTGAATTTTTTTTGTCCAACTGCTAGTAATTTTAATAACAAAATTTTGGTATACACATACATAGTTGCTACTCATGTATAATTATGAAAACATGCAATTCTCTACTATGTTGGTGGGCCTAGGGGATATTGGTTTGGTTGAAGTCAGTCAAATGGAGACATGTATAAAATAATCTCTTTAATATCTTGAGTATAAAGATATACAACAAGAAAACAACAAATGACCAAAAGCCACAGGACATGAGAGTTCGTCTATGGAACTGAGCTTACCAAGGGCTGGGGGAGGAAGCTGTTGGGTAGATGGGATAGGATCATGAAACACTGGTGGACAGAAGACATTCCTGTGGAAATTGTGGTGTTAGAATACTGTAGGACGCATATTTAATTAAAGATGAGGTCCTACTATTTGTCTCTCTTGGTAAGGGAAAAAATATCAATGATATTTGCTTATCATCATATTGTCCAATCAAATGCCTAGAAGTGCCTGGAAGTAATGTGTAATAAGTGAACTAGCCTGTTCTCTCTCTGAATGCATAGTTGCTGGGAAGAATCAAACTATGTAGGAGATGGCTCTCAAGCATGAAATTGGCAAGACTGGTGCCATCAAGCTGTTCCAGACTGATAAGAGCCTTACTCTATTTTCTAGCAATTTATTTTCTAAAGACTAATGAACACACCAATCCACCTGGAGCCAGTTTCAGTGCATCACACCAAGTTTGGCTTCAGTTGTCTTTTCCATAATTTTTATCAAGTTATCATAACATTGTTCATTTAATGTTTTCCTAAGTTGAAAATTTGCTTGTAGAATGTAAACTGTTGTAACTATTTTAGAGTTATTTAGGGTATTCTGGGGTTTGGGGGGTTTTTTTGCATTTATTTTTATACTTCCTATCATCCTGTTTGGATTACATTGCTTTGTATTATATTCTAATTGAAAGCCAATTAAGATGAATTCTTTTTTTTCTTTTTGGGCCACACCCAGCAAGATGAATTCTTATTGATAAATTTTCTGTACTTATTTTGTCTAAAATATGTTTACTCTTGGTCTATTGGAGCGATAGCACAGCGGGTAGGCCGTTTGCCTTGCACACAACCAACATGGCCGACCCGAGTTCGATTCCTCCGCCCCTCTCGGAGAGCCCAGCAAGCTACCGAGAGTATCTCGCCCGCACAGCAGAGCCTGGCAAGCCACCCGTGACGTATTCAATATGCCAAACACAGTAACAACAAAGTCTCACGATGGAGACGTTACTGGGCCTGCTCGAGAAAATCGATGAACAATGGGAGGACAGTGACAGTGACTGTTGGTCTAGTTTTGAACAGGTAATTTTAGAATTATTTTGTTACGCTGTTTAAAAAATATTGTTAAATATTTGCATTAGGATTCATAAGCATAATATCCACATTATGCTCTTAAAAAAGTAAGTATCTAACTTGACCCCTTTTGTGGACAATAGAAGAGCAGTAATAGGAAAACAACAGAACATGAAAAACATACTCTATAGGAAAGTTGGGCAGTTCAGTCCAAGAAAGTGGTTTTACTGTCCTCAATGCTTGCATGTATATGAGGTGCTGAGAATTGGACCAGTGCTCTACTGCTGAGCTACATCTTCAACCCCTGACCTCAATTTTATTTTTTTTTAATTTTTATTAGTGAAACACCATGAGGTACAGTTGTAGACTTACAAATTTTTGTGCTTGGGTTTCAGTTATACAATGATCCAGTACCCATCCCTCCACCAGTGCCCATTCTCCATCATTTACATTTTTTTAAAAAAAAATTTTGTTAGTGAAACAAATTTTAATTGAAATTTTCATTGAATTTCAATTTTAATTGAAAAAGACAGAATAGATATAATGGATAGAATAACAATTAGGGCCATAATGATACTTAGATCTTATTTCATAGGTTTTTGTTTATGTATCTCAAAATAGTCTCTGATATATGCTAAACACAGTATTATCCCCAACAGTTTAGAAATTCTGTACACTTGTATATATGGGAGCTAGATTCGGTTCCCCACACTCACATCAGCTCCACCAAGTGTGGCCCTCCCAACAATGGAAAGAAAAATGTGAATAAAAAAAAAACAACAACAACAAGCGAGGTTGGGTTGATAGCACAACCGGTAGGGCGTTTCCCTTGCACACAGTCGACCCAGGTTCAATTCCCAGCATCCCATATGGTCCTCCGAGCACTGCCAGGAGTAACCCCTGAGTGCATGAGCCAGGAGTAAGCCCTGCGCATCACCAGGTGTGACCCAAAAGGCAAAAAATTTTTAAAAAAAAACCCTCAAAACATGAAGTTGATAGCCGGTTTGGTCTTGAATTAACTCCTGTGCTTATTTGCTGAACTTCATTTTTCTCAAGATGAGATGCTGATAATGCCTATCTTCCAAGGTTGTTAGGGAACAAAGTGGGTATATGTAAAGGATTTCAGTATACTTTGCCAAGAATATTAGTTGTGGTAAGGAAAATTTTTTTCATTGTTGTGAGGCTGGAGTGATAGCACAGCGGGTAGGGAGTTTGCCTTGTACAAGGCCAACCTGGGTTTGATTCTTCCATCCCTCTCTGAGAGCCTGGCAAGCTACTGAGAGTATCCTGCCTGCATGGCAGGGCCTGGCGTATTGGATATGCCAAAAACAGTAACAACAAGTCTCACAACAGAGATTACTGGTGCCCGCTCAAGCAAATCAATGAGCAACGGGAGGACAGTGCTACAGTACTACTGTTCATTGTTTTTCTTTCTTTAAACTGTACCCAGCAGTGCTCAGGAATCACTCATGGTGGTGCTCAGGGAACTGTATGTGATATCAGGAATTAAAACAGAGTTGGCCCTATGCAAGGCAAGTGCCCTAACCTCTATAACTATATCTCTAGTTCACTAAAGAGATTCTGAGCTGGAAGGACACATTTTGCTTTGGGAGAATTTTACCTACACTTCTACCCTCACTCCCCTAAATCAGAAAGGCTTCCCTACACAGGGCTGACAGAGCACCCAGCCTTAGCTGTGACTCCCTCTTGGCCCTCCCCAGGGACATGGAGATGCTTCTCAGCTTCTGTCCCCGACTCACTTATTGTTGCCTTCTGGCAGCCATCCCCAGCCTCCTGGCACAAATAACTGGGTTTCATTAAAATCCCATTTCTCTTGATACCATCTCCACTGGATATTAGCGGGACCCATGACCAGTGGAGTTTTAGCAATCTCATTAGGAACAGGTTCAGGCTAGACCTCTGTAAGTGCTCTTACAAGACTATTTATAACATTTCTCTCCACCCAGTTCACGTTCTTGCATCGCCATCTCTCCATCCCTCCTGGCCCAGCCCGGTGACATGGAAGCCAGCCAGTTTCCCTGTGGTTTTTATGAGTCAGACACTGACGTGCATCTTGCTTCATGTTTCAGGTGTGAATTCTCTTCCACTGTGCCGAGTCCCCACTCCCAGGACCTCTGTATGAGTGAGTCCGCGACCTGCCATGGAACCTGGCCCTGCCCTGGCCTGGCTCCTGCTCCTGAGCCTGCTGGCCGATTGTCTGAAAGCTGCTCAGTCCCGGGACTTCACAGTGAAAGACATTATCTACCTCCACCCTTCAAGTAAGACTTCACTTGCTTTGCTGAAGAAATGGCACTAAACTTTGATCAGTGTCTGAGATGATGCATGCCCTGTAGCCTTCCATGCAGGGGAAACTTGCAGTGATTTAAATCAGGGAGACAGGTCCTGCTGAAGATGCTGTGTTTTGCCCTGAACTCTTTTAAGTATGTATATATATGTATGTATGTATATATATGTACATATACATATATGTATATATGTAAATGTAATGTAAATATATATGTAGCACTGTAGCACTGTCCTCTCATTGTTTATTGATTTGCTCGAGTGGGTCCAGTAACATCTCCATTGTGAGACTTATTGTTACTGTGTTTGGCATATCGAATACGTCATGGGTAGCTTCCCAGACTTTGCCGTGTAGATGGGATATTTTCAGCAGCTTGCCAGAATCAAAATTGCGTTGGCTGTGTGCAAGGCAAATGCCCTACCTGCTGTGCTATCGCTTCAACTAAATACACATGTATTATCACGGTCCTCCCGTTGTTCATCGATTTACTCGAGTGGGCCCAGTAACATCTCCATCGTGAAACTTGTTGTTACTGTGTTTGGCATATTGAATACTTCACGGGTAGCTTGCCAGGCTCTGCTGTGCGGGCGAGATACTCTCGGTAGCTTGCCGGGCTCTCCGAGAGGGGCGGAGGAATCGAACTCAGGTCTGCCATATTGGCTGCATGCAAGGCAAACGCCCTACTGCTGTGCTATCGCTCCAGCCCCATATGTATATATATATTTATTATATATGTATATATTTTTATAAACATAAATATATATGTGTATATATATATATATATATATATATATATTAAGGCAAAGTTTCAGGCTTTTTTTCTCTGTTCCCTGCACAGTTGCTCTGATTGTCAACACCGTCGCTTTGACTCCTGCCAGCACTCTGTCAGTTATCAAAGGGTACCGCCATATCCCCGGAGGAAGCTCAAAAGATTGTCCTTTATAGGCAAGATAATAGCTGGTCTTCCTGTCTGTGCACCTAATGCTCAGTTTCAACATAATTGCTTCCCACAGCCTCCCATTCTCTATGCCTTTTCGTTTCCTGTGTTTAAAAATTATCTAGGGAGCACATAATAACAGAGTTTCTCAGATCTTTTCTCTGGAGTCTCTGCCATGGGCTGTGCCCATGGAGTTTTGCTCTAAGCAAATACTTTAGATGCTTCCTCTGTCAATAAGTATCGGGATCATCAGACTTTGGGAAACACTGATGTTTTATTCCCTCTTTTGTATTCATCTCGTCTTCTTTATTTTATTTGAGTCCCTCCCAGATTTGTCCCTGTGATAGAGTGCATTATTTTGTGTATGCTATGACCTGAGATTTTTTTTTAACATATTATATTTAACAAACATTGTTGGACCTCTATTGTATGCCAAGCATTGTGATAGGCATGAAAGATATATAAGCAAATAGAGTATAGTCTTTGCTTTTGAGAATATTATCATATACACATTGGGGACAGTCTCTGGGCTCCTTTGCTGACAGACAAAATGCTTCACATTGGCAAGTTCTGATTAGGATGAGCTGTGGTCTCTGGCGTCCACTCAACCTCGGGTCAGCAACTATCTCAGTTGCTTTGTTGTAGGATTCCAGTTTGAAATAAATTTCCTAACAATGTGAAGATTTAATAAAAGGATGCTTACAAAGCATTTTGCATTGAGTATAATGCATGTACTCAAATATTAGTGCTCAAATATTAGTGAAATTCTTGTATGTGTTAAGTTCTACACTCCTAAAGTGGAAGAGATAATACATACCCTGTAACATGATTTTGTGAACTAGAAATACTATCATTAAGATAGGCACAGGGAGAGAAAGTACAGCTGGCAGGGCTCTAGCCTCACATGCAGCTAGTCAGGGTTCAATCACTACTACCCCATTTAGCCCCCCAAGCCCCACCAGGAGTAAACCCTGAGTACCACTGAGGTGTGCCACTCCTCCCCCAAAACCCCAAACCACACCAAACCAAACCGAAAAACACTAGGCAATTACAAGTAGACAACAAGACATTCATTGTTTGTAATGTTGCTATAATTGGTTTGGTTAGGTAATACAGAGGGTGCAGAAAAGCCATCACTCTAATTCCTCTAATTCCAAATATACTTTGGACTGGTAGCAAACAGCTTTTGTAGACCCACTGCTACTCTGTATACCCTCTCGCCGGGATAGTCTGGTGCCTCCTAGTTAATAGTGTGAAAAGCTACCTGGCTGTGTGTTTTTGCAAACTCCTTACTTAGTTTTAATAACATTGTAGCACTGACCTTCCATTGTTCATCGATTTGCTTGAGCAGGCACCAATAACATCTCCACTGTGAGACTTGTCATTACTGTTTTTGTCATATCGAATACAGCACGGGAAGCTTGTCAGGCTCTGCCATGTGGGTGGGGTACTCTCAGTAGCTTGCCGGGCTCTCTGGGAGGGGCAGAGGAATTGAACCCAGGTCGGCTGCATGCAAGGCAAATGCCTTACCTGCTCTGCTATCGCTCTAGGTTTTAGTACTGTTTATAAAAAGAAGGCATCTCAATACTTACTTATGTTCTAAGATTACATTTTGTTCCTTTTATATTTTTGTTTATCAGCTGTTCTTTTGAATATTTCAGCGGGGTGATCCAAAACAAAATGTGAGGCTCTTAAATTGGATGGCAAGGAGTTTGGGCTTCTGAAGCATTATGTGTCCATTTTGATGACTGATTTATTTACCATTGAGTGACCAAACAGGCCCACATCTTGCCTGGTCTGAGATTGCCTTTGCAAAGGCATGGGGAAAGGATAATTGATGGAACTGAACTTGGATATTACACCAATAAAAATACCAACAAACAAAAAAACACCCACCCTTCTTCCTCAATGGCCTGCTAAGTCAGTGCTGGAGATAAGCACTATTATGCAGGATCCTGTTTGGAAAGTCAAAAATGCCTTTTTCAAAATGGGCTCCTTGAAGGATGAGTTCTTCCAGGTCAAGGCACCATGATTTGTTGTCTGTAGGAGTCGGGAGCAAGCAGCACTAATCTGGGGCTGGAGTGATTGTACAGCAGATTGGGTGCTTACCTTGTACATGGTAAACCTGAGTTTGATTCTGGCATCCATATAGTTCCCCAAACACCTCCAGGAGTTAGGTTCTGACTGCAGAGCCAGTAATAACCCCTGAGCATCACCAGGTCTAGTCCCAAAACAAACAAAGAAGAGTCAAACCAAAAAAGCAGTGCTGATCCAACAACTTGTTAAATAGAACTGTAGCTCTGTAGCACTATCCTCCCATTGTTCATCGATTTGCTGGAGCGGGAACCAGTAACATCTCCATTGTGAGACTTGTTCTTACTGTTTTTGGCATATCAAAAACATCACGGGTAGCTTGCCAGGCTTTGCTGCATAGGCGGGATACTCTTGGTAGCTTGCCAGGCTCTCCAAGTGGGAATAAAAACAGTAAAGAAAAAAAATAAAGCAACACTCAAAAAGTAAACTGCTGATAATGGGTCAGATAAGATACTAGCATTGAATGTAGCCAATAGGCTAGTATTTCCAGAACCACATATGATGCCCTGAGCATCACCAGGAATGACCCATGAGCACAGCTAAGTGTGGCCCCAAAACCAAAAATTGAAATGAAATGTTGATAGCCTTTGTTTCAGCAGTTTATTTCTTTGGGATAAATCACTAATGACAAAAATGTCACCCCAGGTTTTCTGATATGATTTTGATATACAAAGAGGGAGAAGTCATCTCAAAGCTAGACAGGATACAGAGGATTCCCCAGGAGGATTCCCAAATGTGAGACGGGTTGGAGAGTGGAATATATGTGCACACAAGCTTTTGCAAGACTGAAGTTATTGTCAGTAAATTCCTTTAGGAAAAACTTTATTTTCTCTGCCTGCCTTAAAGAAGAGCAACGTTTACATATCCTTACACTCTTTCAGAAGTTTGGGGTTTGGGGTTGCTTTTATACTCTGATTTTTTTTTAATGGTCCTGGTTCTCTACCCCTGAGTAGCACCCACTGGACTATGTTTAGATGAAATGCTTTCTCCACAAATAAGAGGTTTCTATAGAACACAGACCATGAAAGATACATGAGGGAAGTGTGGGGTTATTCTGAATTTAAATTATTGATTGAATCACCTCACTTTGTAGCTGGAGACACAAACCACCTTCTTGGGGTCAGACAGCAAGCTGGATTTCATAAATGTTAGATACAGCTCAGAAGCTGCCCCAGGAAAGGTGCTGTGATGTTGCAGGGAGAGAGGAAGTGCAAGTTTTCTTCTTCTTTTTTTTTTATAATGTAGGAGTACTGCTATTTATTCAGACATTGATTAAGCTGATTGAATTGGTCATGAACTCCACATTACTTTTTATTTTTTTATTCTGAATGTTAGTTTTATTTTATTATTATCCCCCCCCCCTTTTTTTTAATTGATTCACTGTGAGATACAGTTATAAAGCTTTCTTGTTTGAGCTTTGGTCATGCAATCATCAAACACCCATCCTTTCACCAGTGCACATTTGCCAACCCCAAAATCCCCAGTATTCCCTCCCCACCCCCATTCTAATTCTTCCCCTGCTTGTGTGGCAGACCATTTCCCCCCTACTCTCTCTCTACTTTGGTTACATTCAATATTTCGATACCAGTCTCATCACCACTAAAACCTGCCGAAAAGGCAATGCTAGACGATTTGTTTTGTATTGCTTGTTATGGATAGAATATAATGTCAAGGATATTCTGTGTCGTTCTCTTCTGGGAGCTTTAGTTTATAGTCTCTGGGTCTTGGCCACTGATGAAATTACATGGCACCGGGGGCAGTTTGTGGGTATGACTGCCAAGCTTCTGGAAAACTGGGGACCTGATGGGAGGAGGCCCAATACCAATCCAAGTGGGCCTGGAGATCTCAGTCATCTACCTCCACACTACAGGCCCTAACTGCGTCTTTTTGATCTTTTTTGAGATTTATGGGTCTCTGAAATAAGGCCAATAAATGAGCTTATA